CCAGCATGGCTGGTTAATTCTGGGAGTTGAAGTCCACACGTCTTAAACTTGCCAAGGTTGAGAAACTCTGACATAGATAGATTCTCTCCATGACCATCTGTCCCTAACTTGGACCATCAGGTCTTCCAAAGGTTCAGATGGCCACCAGCAACACATGTTTTGTGTTCGCCACCCAGAATCACTTAGGCAAGATGATTGGCTGTATATATCAAATGCAATTAATTAAGTAATCAATAGTGAAATAAAATGTTTGCCAAAGGCAAAACACTGGCAATAAATAAAGGGCACCCATACAAAATCGTTATTCTAAAACCCTCATAAGAAACCTACGAAGACAGCCACCTTGGATGGGATGAGACTGTGAAGAGTACAAAAGACGTGTCCCGTCAACCTTTCTAGGGAGGCCATGTCAGAGCTGGGGTGACAACCCTGCCCCGTAATAGCCACCCATGAGATGGTCAGAAGAGCCAGCCCCAGGTGGGGGAGCCATCCTGTGGCTCGGTTCCAAACATGATGGCCATTTCCAGATTGTTTCTGGAAGGCAGCCTAACGGGGAGTGCCCTGCAGTGCCCCAGCAGGAGCAGATTGCCGCCCTCTTCTGCTGGAGATGCTTGGAGAAGAGAACCATCACCTGGACTGGATTCTGCTCAGGTCTGCAGAATGACCCAAGGCTGTCCTGCCCCGCCCACCCGTTCTTCTCCCAATTCTGCTCCAGCCATACCGTTTGTATTTGGATGGGTCCAAGCGGTGGCCGAGGTGAGGTGCAAGGGGCACTCGTTGAACACTTTCTTGAAGAGGGTCCTGTCCTGAAGAGGAGAAGCAGGCAACAGCCATCCATGAAAGACAACACCTGGGAGAAGCACGTGAGCATCCGGGCCCTTGGATGACCTCTCTCACCTCCTGGAGGTACCCCTTCCCCTTTTAATTTCACCCTAATAATTCCCATACAGATTAGAAATAACCTTCTGGGGAGCCAGGGAGAGGGAAGGGGAGAACGACGTCCACCTCTGTCGTGTTTTCTGGAAGGAGATTCTTTGTGAATTGTCTGGCGTCCGTGCTGCATTTTGGTTCCAAGGAAAGTGCAAGCTATTCTCTTCCTAGCAGGCTCGTTTTTTAAAAAAAGAGTTGCAGGCCATTCCCTTTCTGGGTTTATGAACATGGCTGTTGGAGAAGTCAAGGAGCAAAGGGAAGTGTCCTCCCTATTTTAATTTGAGGGTGGGCAGTGGGCTGTTTTGGACAAGAGCAGATTAGCCAAATATGGAGGGTGAGCATACTTACCGGTTTCTGTTTCCTCTCTGGCTTCGGAGGAAGGCTGGGTGGCATGTCATCCGGGGGATCTGATCGCAGTTCTGGGACTGCAGGGGAGCAAGGTAACAATCAGCCTCCCACCCCACCAAGTCCTATTCCAAGGATATTGCCCTCCAGCTGTCAGCCCAGGATAAAGATCTTTCCTTTCCTTTCCTTTCCTTTCCTTTCCTTTCCTTTCCTTTCCTTTCCTTTCCTTTCCTTTCCTCTTTCCTCTTTCCTCTTTCCTCTTTCCTCTTTCCTCTTTCCTCTTTCCTTGTTCCCAGGAATGAAAATACCTGTTCCAAGGTATTTTTCCTCTATTCTATAGAATAGTCTGGAGGGGAACAGGAGGGCATCAGAAGCAGGGGAGGAAAGGGAGAATTTCTGATTTTTTCTAAGAGACCAGCCAGTCTCCCCATCGGATACCCTACAGCATCAGATGTGTGGGTCTACAGCTTCCAGAATTCCCAGCCTATACACTGTAACCCTCACCATCCCCAGCTGGAGGGCTGTGAATGGGGGAAGGCTGTTGTAATTGCTGGTGGCCACAAGTGAGGTTGGGTCAAGCAGCTTAAGGAAAAATTACAGTGTCAATATAGTATTTTTGGGAGTGTTCAATGTGCTGCACATCCATTGCCCAGAGGGGCAAACCTAGACTTGAATGTTGACTTTCCCAACATGGTTTGGCTTTCCCAGATAGGACTGAAATCCAGCTTGATGAAATATAGTAAGATGAATTTGGTGATACTCTAATTGAAATGGATATATTACCCTTGTGGGAAAGCGTTTGCAAGGATCAGGTTTCAGCTACTGGCAGCTTCTGTTCCGGAGGCTGGATATGGAAGCAGTTTAGGGTCCGCGGACACGACTCAGCTGAGAATTCAATACGTCATTTGATCATCCTCATTCTGAACAAATATCAGCTAGAGGCCCTTCTCCTTTTTTAAATTAGGGATGCAGCTGGGCAGATCTTCAGATGGACAATTTTCTCAAAAAGTGGTGCTGGCTGTAGGTTTGTAGCCCTGATCTTTTAGGCTGATCTAGCATGCAAGGGACATTTTAATCTGCAGCTCATTTAAATGAGCATGTCCAGCCTACAAACTGCGTTTGGCTAAAGGCGGAAGCATGTGTGACCAGCACCCAGCCCTGCAAGAGACAATATGATCCTCCCCATATTTCAGCTGCGAAGAGGGCAACTCTACTTCTGATGTGTTATTTCCTGTGCCATCCCATGGCAAGCCCTGATCTTTTAGGCTGATCTAGCATGCAAGGGACATTTTAATCTGCAGCTCATTTAAACAGGCTAAACTTTGGGGCAGCCTTAACTCACTGATGTGGTGCTGCTGGCTGGAGATGTTGGGTGTTATAGTCCAATAGATCTAGAGGGCATCAGATTGAAGAAAGCTGCTTTAAGTCCAGAAGTCCAAACCAAACCACTGGTGCTTCAAAAGACGTTGGCGTTTGACATCTAGCTTTCTAGAAGTGCCAATGGGCTGGGAGATCAGGAAAGAGCCGCTAATGAACAAAAACAATTTCACCCTTCCTTCTCTGGTGTTGCACCCTGGAAAATTCCTTCAACATGGCTAGGATTTGCATTTGAAGCGCGTCTGGAAGCGTCTCCTTCCTTCTCTTTACTCCTGTGCCTCCATTTTCTTGGGGAATTGCATACCTGATTTGGCGGTGAGCTGAGAGGCTTGGGCTCTCCTCAGGTTACTTTTTGGAGAGGTCCAACCCATGACAGGTCCACTGGAGCACCGTCCTCGTATTAGGGATGTGGCAGGAAAGTGGTCATAGGATCGATCCACCGCAGTTTCATCTGATGGGAGCCAAAGTTTGGGCTGCAAGGAGAGAAACCAGCGGGCATGCAATTCATTTGTCAGCAGGAAAAGCAAGCCTGCACTAAGGGTGGCCCAGTGGCAGCCTGTGGGCTAAATCCGCCCCACCCATGGAAGAGTGTGAATAGGAGAAGCAATGCTCTGGACCCTGGCTACTCACTGCCCCTTTTCCTTTGGAAGGACCGGACTCGTCTTAGTGTATCTCCACCCGCAAGAACAGAGGGGAGGATTTCTACTTACTTTGCTCCCACAGACGGCTTACCTTGGGAGGTAGTGGGGGTGGGAGGCCAGAAGGCAGAGTGTCCCTGGAAGGAAGGATAAATGACCAGGTTCAAAAACAGAGGGGGGGTTGTTGCCTGTTTTCTCCCCCCTCCCCCCCAATAAATTGTTCCAACAAGACATCTCATTATAGTCCCCTGTGAAAAGCCACCGCAGGTCTCACCCAGCCACTCCTGGGGAGCTGAGTCCCCTCCAAGCAGGACGGAAAATGAAGATTTATTAGTCAAAGGGACCAGCTCCTTGTTGGATCCTGAGAACAATCTCTTCCCAACCTTTGGCTGAATGACCGCGTGGACCGGTTATATCATTTTATATTTTAAAATTCTAGGAGAAATCGTTACCTGATTAGGTCTGTTCTGCTGGGGCTGGAAGGAAGAGGAGAAAACAAAGGTAAGGGGGGGATTTAGGGGAGCAAGAACGACCAAGTGGGGTTACACGCCGGGAGTTCAGCTGCCCTTGAGACCCCCCACCCCCTCACCGTTTTTATGAGCCCTTTGCTGCAGTTTGGCCATTGTAAAACCCTGTGGTTTTACAGTAAAAACATCCGCCATCGAGAATCGTTCGGGATCGCAGCAAATCACCTCCACTGTCATCACCATCATCCAAATGCTGTTTCTTTGTTTATTCAACCTGCGGCCAAGCCACAGATCCCAGGCCAGGATCCAGGAAGCAAACAACCATCAGGGAGGTCTTTTAACGCAAGGATTAGAGGTGAGGCACAGAATCTACGCTAGGATCCCCCAGCCTTTATAGTGGGTTTCGTGTGAATGTTTCGAATCTCTTCTGGGGTTTTGCCATCCGGACTGAGCTGTCGTTAATGAGATAAGCTACTCACAACTCCCCTCTCCTTTCTGATCCGGCCTAGGGTCAGGGATGTCCACAGGGGGTGGTCAAAAAAGTCAAGTTGGTGGCCCCAAGGTGCGATCAAAGCTCTGCCTGTTTTTTAAGACCACTTTCTTTTCTTGGACTCTCACCAAGCACTAAGCCCTTGAAACACGCCTATCTGCGTGTCTGGGGTAAGTTCGTCGACGTGCGCGAGTGTATCCGTATGAGGAAGTTTATTGTATGTTTGCTGATTTAGAGAAAGTGCACAATTAAATAAACAAGCTTGAATGGCGGAATTATAACAATCTGTAAGCAATTATGACATTACTTACATATCCACATCATCATAATCGGAGTCTGCTGTATCCTTCCTGCAAAGGTCAGGAAAACAAATCGGGCTGAGTTGCAATTTAATGCCATGCAGGAAAATTCGACTTTCTTTCAGGTCCAGGCAGCAACTAAGGGAGCTGCTCACCCAGGCCCCTTCCTAGCCCCCTCACCTGCTGCTGAGTTCAGAATCATAGAGAGTGTTGTCTGTAACAGAATTGTAGCCTGGGTCCAACGTGATCTCCTGCGGAAGAAAGCAGAGACTTTGAGGTTCCAGGCTTTACAAGTCCACCAACCTAAAGGAAGAGATGTGTCTCCGGCAGGATTAGGAGCCAAATTCCCCAACAGCCAGCCCAGTGCTATCTGGGAGTGAGAATCCAGCTCATCCAGAGGCCCCCGGTTGGCAACGGTTGCCCTACAGTTTGGTAGTGCTCTCTAGATAAAGCCAGCCTGGAAAATGGGCTAACAGTTCTTCAAGCTTTCAGAATTGGAGTGGGAATGAGTAGACGTTTAGCCGATCTGGATGGGTTATGTGATCCCAGCAACAAGGTGTGCTAGAGATTGCTAATGCAGACTTCTCGGTCCCTCTGCTAAATTATAATTCCCAGCATTCTTTGGAGAAAGCCCTGAGACAACAAGTTTGTATTGGGCATAGATCTGTGCCCATTATTTGTGTTTACCTCTTTATTTATTTACTAGATTTCTAGGCCATCCAGTTCCAACGACTCTAGCCGTTGCATTGCATTTCAAACTCCTTATCCTCAAATGCATCCCGCTTTTGCTGTGGATGAAGGGAGCAAGAAGGAGCATGGGAAAAGACGTGAACTATTGGGGAAGGATATTTTTCAAGGCCCTTTGGCCAGTCTCGGTTAGGCCTGGGAATCTGAGGTTCCCCATTGCTAATCTATAAGCTGGTCAAAAGACCCTTCTGCCACGATGCAAAGATACATAGTGTTGTCTTCCTCCAACAACATTTTTTAACCCAGGTACGCCAGGTTCAGTTCTGAGTGTGAACGTGACCTCCACCCAACCAGCTAACCATTACTAGCAAGAATACCAGCCACAGAGGGAGAGAACCATAACATTGGAATGGCACCTCTTTAGGAACAACTCTTCCATGGATGCCACTAAAGAAGGCGAAAAGAAGGGTCGGTTGTGAGACCCTAGTCCAGTGAGTCTGTGTGGGTGCCCAGAGTGGGGGACAAAGAGATTAAGGGTAGGACCCAGACCTTGAGGAGGACAAAGAGAGGACACCTTTCTCTCTCAAGTGGAAGAGCAGAAAAACCAATAAAAAGTTACCATGAAGTTTGAAGACTTCAGACTGTGTCTTCTTTGGAAGGTGAGGCTGAAATTATGCTCTGCAATGAGATTAGAAAGGGATTTAGAGCGCTGCCTCAGCAGTGGGGAGGAGATGGGGGGGGTTGTGAAGACCAAACAGCCGTGTTATTTTTCCTAGTGGGGAGAATCCACTAGGATGAGCCAGACGGGTGGGCACTGAGTGAGCGAGACTGGGCAGCCGTACCCTGGGCATCAGCATATCCAGGAGAAGTCACGCCCTGCCGCTGAGTGGAGTGAATTCTTCGGGGCACCGGGGGCGGAGGCAGCTGCGGCAGAGAAGATGAGAGAAGAGGCATGCTGGAGATGTGTGCTATGGCTACCCCAAAGCTGGGGGCTTCTATAGCTGTGCCCCCTTCAGTCCTAGAATAGCCCTTATTTTGCCAGCTCAAAAGACACCCTGAGTTTGACTTGAGCAAGACAAGAGGAACCTGAATTTAGGAATGTAGTGTGGGGAAAAAAGTTGGTGGCCTGGACAATTTCCCCCCCATCATTGTATGGTAATCTCTGTATTCAGGATTAGAACAGGAGTAACTTTAGCGAGAAAATCTATGACAACAGAACACTTAAGTCCTGTTTGTGTTTTAAAGATCAGTAGCTGAACTGGGGGCTGCATTATGGCTATGGGAAAAAAGGAAACCAACTTCCAATCACAGGCTGTCACTGGAGGACAGAGGAGATTCATGGAAATGTGGGCACATACTCATGTGAGACTCATAGAGTGAGTCTGGGCACATCTAGTCAACTGGTTATATCCAGGCCTACAGGTGGCCCAAAGATCTCCCCGTATAATCCGCTCTGTCCCAACAGCTGGTCACTCTTCACAAGTGGTAGTGCCCTGACTGCTTTGACATGGGACAAGTTAAGGAAAGCAATCAGAAGGGAGGGGACATGCCAGGCAGACCTCATTCCCTGGGCACTTGTGCTACCAAAACCCTGCAAAATGGGCCTCTAGCAAAGCTCATGTCAGGAGAAGATGGAAAACTCTCATTTAACATCAGATCAGAGAAATACAGTTACTGTACGTGGCCTCGGCTATAGACTGGAGATGAGATGAAGGCAGCATTGTGAGGACATATCTTTGGAGAACTCTTAGCCTGGCATCTTCAAGAAGCAGTTAGAGGTAGGTGTGGATGACTCCTAAGGGGAGGCCCTTCTCTCCCCCTTTTCCAGCTGCAAGGCTTTGCTCTCACCTCTTGTTCCTCTTCATCTGTCTCACCTCTGCAGCTGGGGAGCTGGTCAGGATTGCGCACTTTCTCCAAGAGGTCAAGGGTCAGGCTCCAAGTGAGCCCTGTCTGGGTAACAAACTGGTGCTAGGAAAAGAAAGGTGAAGATGGTTGGGTTCCAGCCTGGGAACTGGACCACAAGAGTGGAGGAGGGAGGGGATAATGTGTCTTGGTGATAAATGCCAAAGAGGCTAGCCACTTCATCTACACAACGTAAACCTAAATGCAGCTTCACTTTTCAGCAATGCAAGGAGCGGCTGCTGCAGAGTTCTCACTTATAAGTACCGTTGGAATCTTTCAAAAGACTTTCCATGGAGTGACCTCAGGGTTTAAGAAGAAAGTGAGATGGTTGTCCAACTCAAGCAGACATAGAAATTGGATTTGGGTCCTGAACGGTTTAAGAACCACCCCTCCGGAGAGCTAGCCTGGGAGACTGTGCCCCCAAGCCTGCAGAAAGCATGTCCTGTGTGGAGATGGAAGGAGACGTGGGCCTACTCACCGTGAGCATCTTGGAGGCACTAGGCCGTTTCTTGGGATTTTTGGTTAGTGTCACCTTGACAAAGTTGTGGAAGGCAGAGGTCCTGTAGAGACAACAGCACCCATGAGCGGAAGTGTTTGGAGCTGTAAGATAATCTGATGCATCTGTGCAAGTATCCATGATCCTTATTATCTACATCACTCTAGAACAGTGTTGTCCAAACTTGGCCACTTGAAGATGGGT